CTATGCTAATAAAAAATACAACTATTTAGAGGCTACATATTGAACATCTTTGTGGGTGTCATATTTTATGTTGTTGTTGTTTTTCTTAGTAAACACATGCAAAAATGATCAGTCAACTGTGGGCCACTGTCCAAAAGCACTCCTCCTAATAAGGGGAGTTTGAAACACAGGTTAAAAAAACACTGATGTGCATCACAACATCTAAATGACACAGTGTGAATAAAAAATTAAATGAATAGTATTCATTTTGTTTAAAGCTATAATGTCCTCAGGGATGGTGATTAATCTAACAAGTAACTAGACTAGACTTGGTCCAATATACAGTACTGTGCAAAAGTCAGAGATCACTCTTCATGTAAAAACCTGTCCTGCCTTACTCATGTCTTTGTCTTTGCTCCGCCCTTTCATCATGCCCCTTACCAGCGTTCTGCCTGCAACATCTCTTTGTCTTGGCTGTTCCTTGTCCTGTTCAGTTTACCCCTTGTTTAGCCTTGTCCCTTGTAATGTCTTGTGTTTGTGTGCTACCCTTGACGTTTCTGGATTGTTCCCGGTTTCTGTTTTTTTCCTCCTGCTTGGTTTTCCTTGTAAACTTCTGTGTTTATTTTGTTAGATTACCTGTCTCCAGTACCACTCAGTTTTTCCAGTCATTTTGGTTTTCTTTCGTTTTTCTTGTTTGTTCCAGCATGTCCCACAAAGACAGGGTTCCTGACTACGTTTCAGCTTCACAAAACCTAACAAATGGAACAGCAGTTATCTCGTTTTACAAAGACAGTTAACAACCTTCTCTGTTAACCCAGGTGTGGACACTCAGGCTGTGATTAATCCTCATGCATTCACACATGGAAGAGTGATGAATAGCCAGTCTTGTGAAACATGAGGAGGTGTCGGCTTTATTTTTTTTTTTCAAAGCCTGGTAAAAAAAAAGTGATCCACAGTTGAGCGCCAAAGAATCCAGGGTTAGCTCAAACTAAACTTAAAGCTTGCTGGCTAGGCAATAAATCCTGCTTCATCAGATAGACATCACTATGGATGTCACCACTCAGTCTGCTGACACAACCCTTGCGTTAACTGTTTTAATATGGGCTCAAACGTGTCTCCTGCTATCATCCCTCCTTCGTTATACTGAATTAATAATTTATTTAAATTAAAATGGCCATTAATCACAAGTTATTTCTGAGGAGAGTAGATATAAGATAATCCACTAACATAAAGAAAGGGAAAGGAAAATAAGTGAAAAAACAGGAGTTCAAATGGGACTCCTAAAAACTGTGCAAGACCACCAAAACTGTCACCATCAGATAAACAGTACTTAAAGCTTTCATCTTTGAGAGAGAGGAGAAAATCAAGCTCCACTCTTGCTTTAGATTTTAAAAAATCCACAGATGTTTCTGTCCATCCTTCTACAGTCAGAACACAACTGAAGGCTATGGGTCTGAAAAGATGTATCGCTGTCAAGAAGCTGATACTGAGAGTTTCCATGTAGTTTCCTGTTAAATATGTTTTCCCGCTTTTTTCTGACACACATATGAAAAAACATATGACTTGTACTTAAGGGCTGGAAATGAAATAATTAAATGAAGGACAGTCTCAGACTTTGTACAGTACTGTATATTACACAATCTTTGATACAGTTTCTCATTTTTCCAGTGTCTACCCTTTCATGAGTCGATTTACAATCCCACTTTCTCAAAAAAGTTGAACCAAGAAAAATGATAAATCTACCAAATAGGACTAGTGCTGACAGGACAGTGAGGAGCCACTGTGACGTGACATTGTCATATTTTTACATTGCCATGGACTGTTATGTACTCTTATGCCCTTAATAATTCATTTAGTAGTGCTACCTATCTGAGGCAGTGAGGGTTACCAGCAGCATTCCCCAGAGCATGTGAAACCACCCACTGCATTTCAAACCAATGCTTTTGCAATGTCACCTAGCAGCTCAGAACACTTGCTCATTTCCATCTACATGACCCAACAAATGCCCTCAATTAGCCAGCACAATGGTCAAGAATTGACTCGAGAGAGGAAGTCTGCTATCCATTCCCACCCATTCAGAGTCCAGGCAATTGTACTCTTGACCAGGTACAGACCTTTGACTCCCTGTGAGCTCCTATTTTTCAATTACTACCCAAGCTGCCCATCCAAAAGCCTTTCCTTTTCCAAGCACTTCTACAGATAATGAAGGCAAATGCAACATATAGATCATCTAGCTCATCTAAATCATTATTATGGGCAGTGCTTCAGACAAATGCACCTTGTTGACTGAGCAGTATTTCAAGCTTTTAGGAACAAATTCTCCTCATTTGTAAGAACAACATCTTTACAATTTATTTTCTGTACATTTTTTTCTATCACTTTAAAATAAACTGAACAAAGTGGGCATCAATCATTGCTCTACTTGAAGAAGCATTATATAATCTTACCTTTTATTAGGATGGCACTGTATGGTGAAAGTTTCACATGTGATATGTAATATATTAAAACCTGCTGGGGAACCTTTGATGTGACATGATTAATGATTGGTCTACATTATTTTGAGCAAAATTATTTATGTTTTCTGAATCACAAGCTGCAATGTCAAAACACTCTCAAAAATTCACCTGGAACATCTGAGATTGGGTTAGAATGCTTACAGCCTAATTGAAAAACATCAAAGGCCAATATTGCAAACAAAGAATACATTGTACAGCTCTGCCTTTTATTTGCTTATCTTCTTTTTCTTTTATTTCCATCATTAAGAAGGAGCAAATCTGATCTGTTACAGAAAACCCTCACTCCTTCCCAGTTTCCAAACAGACATTTAGATCTCATTAGCAGTTTGACGAGGTTTGCAAAGCGATTCTCAATAGAAATCTCGTCAAACAGCCCTTCTCGCTCTGCTGCGTACTTTAATGGAGAGCTCATTCTGTCTTACTCGAGTGCAGTGCATACCATTCAGCTCTTCTCTCTGTCTCTCAGAAAAGCACCTCCACACAGAGCTAATGTCCTGAGCTGGGTCTCATCTGGCAGTCTAGCAATGTCAAGAGGGATCAGAGGATGTGCGTGACTAACACTGACCAGGCTAAATGATCTAACACAGGTGCAAAGGTCCATTTTTCACGATTTGACAGTGTGTAATTAAATGATATCTCTCTCTGGTACAAAGGAATGAATACTCTGATAGCTTTAAACTGAGTGCTGGAGCACCACTCCACACAGAAGAACAAAGAATAGTAGCTATTCCTCTCATATAATTCTGTTTTAATGAAGGAATATGTTTTTGTAAGTGCCTTGTTTTCACCATTAGAAACTCTCATTATAAACTGCTTTAATTTGCCAGCGCCAGAGGCCCAGTGCCGTCCTGCCCATGTAATATAATCAATGAACCATATGCATACAGGAATATGATAAGCAGGATATTTGGCCTAAGTCAGCTAACTTCAGTGCCATTACAGTGGAATCAAGTGCAAAAAGTTGAGGAGCACAGAGAAATAGCAATTAAGTGTTGAAAGTATGGGAAGCGAGGGCTAATCTCAACTAAACGCTCCAGTGTTTCAGGAGGACTGTAAGCATATTAACATGTCCGACACTCGTAGTTTCTTTCCCAGTCTTCTGATGTGTACAGAGAGTGTACTGCAGAAAAACGAAGCGCATCTTTTCATCTGCGTTTCTCCCAGAAATAAAGGTCACTGCCGCACAAATGGAGAAATAAATGAATAAACAACGACTGTTGAGCTTGTGCTGCTTTGATAGCACACATCAAAGCGTGCTATTCTTCTTCAGCGACTGGTGCCATCCCTGGGCAGATGGAATATAGCCACAGCTTGTTTTCTGTGTGTCTGTGGATTATAGTACTGATGGGGGCCATGGCAGACATCCCTAACAGCCCCGTCTCTGCCCCAGACAGCCGGGCTCTCACGCGCTGACAAGCATATCGAACTGTGAGGAGTTTGTAACTTACAAGGTTCTAGTCACAGTGGAGAAACCCACACTGCACCTTGTGAATGGACATTACGGTTATACTTCCCCTTCTCAAGAGCTTGAAACCATGCCAGAATGAGATCACCAAAGGCTTTTGAAAGGCCTGATTACTACAGCACCCTGGGTGAAAATGCTGAAGACATACAAAACCTTCAGCTGTTTATGCCCCCGGCAGTGAGGAATCAGTTCTTATGTTTGGATTACAGGGGATGAAGTTCTGTTCGGGGGTTAGGACAGATGAGAGAGGAAACAAGAAAGGAAGAGCAAGCGAGAGAGAGAGAGTGAGAGGAAGAGATAGAGAATACGAGTGAGAGATGGACTCATCTAGGTCAGTAGCTAGAGGGAGAAGGATCACTGGGATTGGAGCAATTGGTGGTAGAGTAGCTCAATCACAGAATCATAGCCTCCAGTCTCATTGTGTTCTATAAACAAGCTGAGCTTACATCAAGAAAACCTCAAAAAAGTCATACTGATAGAAAAAAGAAAATCTGACTTGGAATCAAAAAATGAGGGACAATCTGAACTGAGTTGGCTATGATGTTATTAAGCATTCGCAGACAAGGCAAACTTAGGATTAACATCCTTCTAGTCAGTGCAAACTCTAAATAAGCAGCTCATTCATCTCCTGCACCTCTTCATGTTGTCTGATCAGGATATTACAGTATTCCTTTCACAATAAGTAGCTGACCCCTAACTAAAAAATCTGCATAGTGCAGACTGTGCACAAGCGAAAACTAACAGCCCCACAGGAAACAATGAACTTAATTACAGAGCTGAATAGCTACTTACTTTCAAATTAATTGCCTCAATATTCTTAATCTTTTGTCTCCCCTCTTTAAAGCATTTCCAATTGTTTGCACTGAACACACTGCTGAGAAAACCAAGCCACATGGATTATTTCAGATAACGTATGTGTCATTTTTCCACTGTAAGGTATGAGCTCATTAAAAAGCAATAGCAGTTCTTCAGGAAATATCTTCACTGCTGTAACACTGGACCCTCTTTGTGTAACAGAATCAAAGCAGACTGTCTCTTACCTGAGCTACAGCTACTTGGGTTTGCTGCTGCTGCTGTGTGAGTTGCTGCTGAAGGAGCTGGAGCTGGTGGTGGACGGACAGCGGCGTGCCAGCTGGGAGCTGGCTGCCAGAAGGAAGCAGCATTTTTGGAGAGGATAACAGGATGGAGGGCTCTTCGGAGAGCTGTAGAGGAGGAGAGAATTAGAATCATGATTTTTCTGTTTTAGAACTGATTCTCACTTACTATTCAACATAGCAGTTTTGTAAAGAACAATATAAAGAACAATGATACAGCTGTTTCAGTGGCAAATTTTCAACACCAAGATGTTGGGGTGCAATACCACTGATGAGTGGGTGGATGGGTGCTAAGGTGGCGTGTAATACTTCGTTGACATTAAAAAAAGTGTAGGCCATTTGACTGACTTAGGTAAACTTTAGTTAGTCTACTGTACTCTAATGTGTCACTGAACATAACATTTTAACACAAATGAGTCTAACACAAACTTGTTTAACACCAAAAGCCACATGGTATGGCAGCACGTGGGAAACAAATGCTGGCAGAGTATTTTGTACACGCTTACAGTTGCATGCACCTCATGGTAAACAGTGGGAAATTAGACTTGAAGCTTTGTGCGCCCTTCTGTCATTGTTCATACAATATTTTATGCGGAAAGTCTGCTGCGTGTAGCTGGTATAAACTGCCATATTGATAACATAAGAGTGCTTTGTGTTAGGAGTGGGCAACATGGCAAAAATATAGCACAATACATTTTAATGATACACGATATGCATAATAATAGATTTACATCTAAAATGATTTTACAAATGGTTTTACAAACCGCACTAAATATAAAACGCAATTGAAATTATGCTCACCTTCTAAAAAACATAGTTAGTGTTCTTTAAGAACTGATGATATCTATGACATGCTTAGAAAAATGTATTGTAACACAATTTATCACAATGATGATAAAATACTGTCATATTGTCTATCCCTACTTTGCATCATGGTTACTGCTTTTGATCTAAAATGCTCTTTGCTTAGCTGTGCTCTCAAGGAAAAAAAGCCCCTTTATGATGGTAACGTGTCCACTGTGGTCGGCATGCTACCACTGCAGTTTTGCGGTGATTTGTGCGGACCTACTGTGATCTGCAGAATTGACCCTGTTCATCAACTGAATTGCAACCACCTGGGATACCTTAGCAACGGTCTAAAAACATCTAGCAACCAACTGTGACAGCATAGAAACGGCCTAGCAAAACCTTAGCAACCATCTAGACTACCATAGCAGCAGCCTAGCAACAGCTTAACAGCCACAAGGGATACCACAGCAACAGCTTAGCAACATCTTAATAACCACATGTAATCACATAGCAACACCTTAATGACCATATGACAACCACCAAGCAACGCCCTAACAACAAACTAGAATACCATAGCAACCTTCTAGCAGTACTATAACAAGGACCTGTAATCATTATATAAACCCAATTAAGTCTTCAAAAACTGCTTGTTTTTGTTGCATCAACTTAAAGTTTGTTCACGAACTTTCCCTTTCTAATTTAATTATTGTATTTTTAACTATTCCTTTAAAACTTTAAGGTTCCTGAAATCTAAAGCACCCAACAAATGATATACGTTGTAGTTAACTGTCAGAACTGGATATCAGTTTCTTGATATCATGTATCAAGAACGTTATTAGATATATAACACTAGTTATCTATAAACACCTTTAACACTGAAAAATGTTACAGCCTCCCAGTGTAGACAGTATACATCAACAAGCACTATATATTAACTTATATATGTCAACACAAACAGGATGTAGACATCTGTGTCAACTGTGGCAATTACAGAACAAAATAGTGCACTGAATGAGAAACTTCAGTAATGTACTGTATTTCACAAAGCATAACATTTACCTGTTACATTTACCTGTATGCACTGTTAACATTTAACTGTCACTAGAACAGTTTCTCACTCTAAACTACATGATGGGCTGAACTAGATAGGCTTGCTAAGGAATGCCAATGATGCTTAATTAAAGAAGAAAATAATATGCTTTCATCAAATCCTCTGCATACAAACATCTTTCCTTAAGTCTTCCAGAACACATAAAAAGTCCAGTGTACAAAGATCAAAAGACACAAACTCAGATGCAAAACAAAACCAAAAAAATCCGTCAAAGCACTAAACCATCTAACGTAATTAACCTAGATCTCCACAACTTTCTGCAAAGAACCACGTTTCAAAGAAGGAAAAAACAGAATGAAAACATCCCGGCGTAACAGAAACTTGATCAAAACCCATGCAGGAATAGCCTCCGGAATCTCTCTTTGAACAGCAAATGCAATGTTTTGGTGGCAGAGTCTTCGGTGGCAGATAATTGCATTGGGGAGACACACAGCAGAGAGACAAGCGCTGTCGACTGACAAACAGTTTCCTCATTTTAGTGGGTAGCTTTGCATGCTGGGTTACAGTCATTAGCAGGATGTGCTACAAACTTCATCTTAGCCATTTCTCTCCGTGGCCGTACAGTGAACTCATGAAGTTCTTTTTCACTTCTTTTGCAAACAACCTCTTCCTTGTCAGTCAGCATATTCACAAAAAAGATGTGTTAAAAGTTTTAGCATATTTGTGTTAAAAGTAGAGCTGTCATGATTACTTGAATTAAATCGATACCTTGATTAAAAAAATTAAATACAATTAAATGTATAACTACAAACATACATGCATTAGTAAGATCCTACTGGTGTGGTCTGGTCTGCTGAGGGATGAGCGCTAATAGCTTCCCCTTGTGGAGAATGTTCTCAATGATTTGACTTAATGATAGGTCTGCATTGTGAAGGATGAGCAGGGTGATTATAAAGACATGTTCAGCAGTCTGAGCATTCTCCGCAAGGGGGAGCTATTAGCACTCAAATCGCTCATCACTGAAATAGCGGAAACCCAGACCTGCTGATCCTTCATGAATGCAGGTTTGTGGTTACTGCTTTATATGAAGTAAATTAAACACTTGCTGCTACAGACTGCCTGAATATGAAAGTGTAAAAGTGTACGTGAAGAAAAAGGTTTAATTAGATCTAGGCTGAACAGTTTGCCAGCTGGCTAACAGGCTAAGCGGCCTGATACCTACAGATATACTGATGATACACATGTTAAATTTGATAGTCAGCTCCAGTTAAGAGGTGTTATCTTTGCCTCAATATAGAAATATAAACATATTTGTCTAGTCCTTATCTAGACACACAGGACAATGTGTTTTAACCCATCTGTTTTGAGAGTGCAGCAATGTAGTGCCATGGAACACTGTTGTTAGCATCTCAACACTAGGCTGTTGTGAGACAGTGACATTAATCAGAGCAGAGGCTCCAGTTTTTAGAGCTGTGCTGCTAGCACAAACAGAGCAGAGGGACAGCAGGTAGTAAACATGGTGGCTGTGACCAACTGCCCATGTCTTCCTCCAAGCCTGACTTGTTTACTTTCCCCAAAGGTCTGAGATAAAATTATAGTAATGGCAGCAGTCAGATATTGACCTCCTGCATGCTGAGAGCTGAGTGTGTTTGGGTGAGTGAGAGAAAGAACACAATGTACCAGCCAGGAAAAAAATGTCTTAACAGTGTTGACTCTGTTCTGTTTGGTTGATGCACAGAAAAGTTGCCAGTGAAAATTCCTGGCATTGCCAAGAAGAGCAAAAGTGCTTACTCACCAACAAAGATTACAGAAGTAACCAAAGTGGTGATTTTTGGTTTAAAACTAAACCAAGAACCAGATGTACTTAAGCTTATATAAACCAGGTTGCAGGTGAAAATAGGATGCATGTGCTTGTTTGGTAATTCCACCAAAATGTTTCAAAAGTTCCACATAATTCAATCACTGAGATTTCAACAATGCCAGCATTTTGATGTAAAATGCACCTTTCTAGAAAAAAACTTGGCAATCTGGATTTTCTTTACAGTGGTGGTGATTGGAATCAGGGTTCATGATGCAGTCAATGCAAATATAGCCATTTTAATTACTATTTTAAACCAACAGTGAACCTGCATGGGCCTTGTGAGTTTTTACATACAGTCATGTGAAGAAGTAAGTACACACTTTTTCTACATATTTGAAGATACAGACACCAAGTCTTCATTTAAACAGTGCTGATAGATAAAGGTGATATAATTCAACAAGTGACACCTAGAATGAATATTTTTGTTATCCTTTACATAATCGAAACAAATACTAATGCAATTTTCTCATGTGGAAAAATTAAGTATACTGCTCCATATTTCACTACTTCAAATGTGTCAAGTTGAAATCAGGTGCATCCGATCAGGTGCTAATGATTAGAACACCGTTCAAGAATATCTGGGAGGAACTTTTCTTATTTAAAACATCAGATATCTGGTCTGGTTTGCTCTTTGTTATTGGAGTGTGTGGTATTATCATGCCTAGATCAAAAGAGCTCTCTGAGGCCTTCAGGAAAAAAAAAGCTGCAGATGCCTATGAGTCTGGCAAAGGGGTTTAAAAGGATATCCAAAGTATTGAAAACCAATCATTCCACTGTCCGGAAGATCACCTACAAGTGGAGATGATTTAAAACCACCTCTGACTTTTCTAGGCCACGCTGCCCCAGCAAATTTAACCCAAGAGCAGACCATAAGATGCTAAAAGAACTCTTTTTTTTTTTTAAATAAATGATTGCGAAGTCAAATATGCATTGTGCTTTGTTCTTTTACATAACATTTATCTATACATGCTGTTTAAATGAACATCAAATACTGATATGTCCACATCTGTCAAAAAAGGAGAAACATTTCATTGGGTGTACTTACTTTGTCACATGACTGTATAATGTTTTCTTTTACTGCATGTACCTCTCCACCTTCTCAAAAACTGTTGTCAAACAACATCTCAGGCATCATCACTGTCCAAAGAAAAACAAGTTTCTCCAAAATAGTAACTTTAGAGGAGAAGGCAAAAAACACTCTTACCTTTCAATGTAAGTTAAAGTAAAGAGATTTTATTCCAAGTGATTTTAGAGCCTTTCTATTATTCCATTCATCATGATATTTTAACACAATGTAAAGGACAGCTGGTGTGTTGAAATGATGTAGAAAAATTAAAAAACGACTACAAAGTTGACAATTACCCCTTCCGATTTCACTGTACCTTCTAAATCCTGCACCACGCATGA